CTATCCAGCTTTGCCCTGCCCTGCCCTGCCCTGCTCTGTTCTGTTCTGTTCTACCCAGCTTTGCCCTGCCCTGCCTGCCTGCCCTCACCCACCTGGCCGGAGCAGGCGGACCAGCGAGCTGTAGACGTCGTGGCAGTCTCGTTCCCGGGGCACCACGAAGCGCAGCACCCGGAAGTTCCTGCAGTGGATCTCCAGGGGGCAGCCGCTGGTGGTCAGGGACAGCTTCTCCACCGTGGCGATGTGGTGATGAAGGACCTGCGGCAGCGGGGGAGAGACGGGGAGTCCTGAAGGCTGCCTGGGCGTGCGAGCGTGGCACGGGCACGGCCCTGCCTCCGGGTATGGTCTACCGCAGGGCTACAGGGATCGGCAAGCCTGCCCCCACAGCGGGTGACCCCTGGCGCTCATGTGTAACCGGTCCCGATGCCAGCTGGGCCCTGGACTTCCCAGCCATGCCCCAACAGTTCAAGACCACATTCAGCACATCACTCCCATAGTTCTCCCGCATAGTTCTCATGCCGTGCATTTTTGGAGAAATCACATTTAAGAGCTACAGCACAATGGTCCATATTGTTCATTTCTCCACCTTATGCGCCCATGTGTTAGAGTGGGTTTGCAGAGCTATGTCAGTCTTGCTGCCATGTGAAGTTTGTTCTTTATGCCACTGACGAAAATATCTGGACCATAATCCGAGGACGGGCAGGGGCACACATCACAGTCTGACACCATTTTCATACTGTATTTGGAGCTGAGCTCATTTTTATGCTTCGCAGGCAATCAGAAAAATACATCTGTGGCACGTCATTACAGAGAAATGGAAAGGTGCAGGCGGGGGACACCAGTGCCTCTCCTAGAGTCATCACAGTGCCCGGGAAAGGGTTAAAAGCCCTAGCTGGCTGAATCTGTATTCTGCACAGAGCAGGCGCCTCACAGCCTCTCAATTAAAAGGAATTGTGAATGGCCCTCCTGCTCTGTCCCTCCGGTTTCCACGGTAACCTCCCTCCTGCCTGTCACATCTCCATTAGCATGAGACACAGAAAGCCCTCAGCACTGAAGACATTCTGGACCAGCTCTGGCACCTGAGGGCTGCACAGGCCTCAAAACTGTACACACAACACCTCTGCCAGGCTAAGCTTTATGCTGCACCTCTAGGTCAAACAAATACTGACGAGACCTTGTTTTAAAGGAAGAAGAGCACTTCCTGGTTCTGCAGAGCGAGTAGCTTTTCAAGGCCTTACCATAATTATAAGTGATTTGCAGAATTTGCAGAATACATCGGGACGGATTCTTACCCATATTTCCTGTGCGCTGGAGGAGCTGGCCTCCATGAAGAGCAGGTGAGTGGCAGTGAGGTAGAGAGTTCCTGTGGTGGACTTGTTGCTGAATCGGTCCAAAAGCTTCACATGCTCGACCTACAACAGAGCACCCAGCTGTTAGACACACTGAAGCACTGGAGCACCGGGGAGTGAGCTCTGAGCTCACCACAGCACTCACACAAGGCTCACCCAGCTGTTAGACACACTGATGCACTGGAGCACCGGGGACAGAGCTCTGAGCTCACCACAGCACTCACACAAGGCTCACCCAGCTGTGAGACACACACAGCACTGGGGACAGAGCTATGAGTTCACCACAATGGCTTCATAAAGATCACACAGCTGCTGGTGCTCTGTGTTTCTGACCTTTATTCTGACTATTAGTACTGTTGTGATCATCATCAAGTATCTTGATCATTTCAAGGATAAAAATAAAATAAGGGAAAAGATTTATAAGGGTTGAAATCTGAGAAAGACGTGTTTAAGGCAGTCCCAAAATCAAAAGAAGAAAAACTAACTGGAAAAAAGATCTAAGAATGACATAAAAGGTCTAAAAGTTGTGTCAAAGAATGATACTTCTCAAGAAAAGCAGTGCCTGAAATCTTCCACATGAGCCCATTGCAAAGGAAAGTCATTGTTTATTACGATGAACAGCTGCAACGATGCTGAATAAGATTAACTTCCATGCAAATTCAACTCTAATCCTACCTCAAATCACTAAACTTAACGTTGAAACAGAAGCTTTCTCAAATTCCAGCTTTACTTCCATTGTCAACAAAAACACTGCATGTCTTTAAATGGCAGCTTGCAAATTCTTCTGTGATTTTTGCACTATCATATCATATTATTGGGATAAAGGCCAGGGAAGCTTCATCTTCTTCAGTTGGACCAGCCACAAAATGGACACTGGTGCACATCTCCCCTCCTTCCACCATTTCCCCCAGGCAGGTGGCAGTAGAATTGCTCGGCATCTCGAATGAAAGAGCCGACGTGAGGGAGTTCCTGCATCCTCACACATTCCGCTAGGTAGCCTAGCAACAGGTCAGCACGCCGACAGCACACAGCAAGACAACAGGACAACAGGCCCTTCCAATGGGAGGGTGGCCTGAGCCCATCAGTCAAAGAGCTGCTTCTCATCAAATGAAAAGCAATGTAAAAAAACCCCAAACAATCTGATTTATTCCACCGGTTCTTCTATAAGAATGGGTACAAAATGACAGGAGGCTATTTGGCACATCAGACCTCTTTGGTAGTTAGAGGCTAATGGATTCCAGGACCTCATCCTGTCCTTGGTTAGGAGAACGTATCCCAGTTAATAATGTACAGTATGTTGTGGCAGAATAAAGTGTTAAAGATAAGTTTCATAGAGGTGCACACTGACTTGATTGATGTGCACGATAGCTGTGTTCTGTAAGAATACGCCTGGCCGAATTTTTACCAGCTGCTTTCACACACAGCTCAAGAACGCATCGCCACATTCCAGCCAGGATCTCCCTGCATTTCCATTCCCCAACTTCCAGCTGGAACACAACGGGGGGGAAAAATCAGAGCAATCGCTAACCGGGATATTGTCCTTCCTCCTGCCCTGCATCAGGAGGGCAGGGACGATTGCATTTCTGAACCCGAGCAGCAGGGCTTTTCGAGGTTCTGTCAAACTAGGTTTCATGGGAACATAAACGCAGCAGAGCCTGTGAGACCTGAAGTTCGCACAGTGCATGTTTTTTCATCCCAGGGCATTTCTTGAAAACTGTTGGGGTGTTACCTTGGCCAAACTCCTGGCCAAATTTCCCCCTGGACTTTCCTCGTCATCCCCATCTCTGAACTGGCCACCGAGAGCGCACAGGTGGGGAGGAGCTTTGAGTGGAGTGTCAAGAACAGTGCTACAGAAGTGTGAGGAATTATTAATATACACATGTCCTCCTCTTCTGTCTGACGCCACAGATCACACTCAAGACCTGACATCAGGTCACACAGCTGTATTTGGGTATAAAAGCAATAATACTTGGATAAGAGTGTCAGCCAAATATACTAATCACACTGTGTATGGCCTTTTAAGCTTTGCCCTAATGACATTTTCTATATCAATTCACATAAAGCTGTGAGTCGAAACGTAGCTGTTTACTTAGCAATTACTCTAACAGGTGCGCTGTCACGCGAACTGTCACACCCATCGATGAAAGGCGTTTGTTCTTCTTCATTTACTGAGCACCTCATAGACTATCCACACGAGAAAACACAACCTGCCAAGTCCGGTTTGGTGCTCAGATCGGGAGAATTAGATCATCCCAGTGCAGAAACGGCACTAAACGAGGCATTAGCAGCGACATGACACAGGCTATCTGCCCTTCCCTGTGCGGGTTATCGGAACGAAATTGACGCCTCCCTGCCTCAACCAGCATCCTGCTGCACGACAGGGCAGGGTGACTGTGCGCTCGGTCTCCCCTCCTTTCTCACCACCGTTTCGGGATATAAAACTGTGCCGCTGTGGGGAGACAAGTGTGGCAGCGGTGAAAATCCACTCCCAGACCAGTACATGTAAAAAATAAACACCCTGAACACTCCCTCATCCTTATCCTTGGACATGTTGCACTTTTAGCTAATCCTTGATCAGGCACTGCAACGCTCTGAAGCGCATTTCGTCATTTTGACTAATGACGGTCTTCTCTACCTCGTTCTCCACGGCTCCTGCATAGGCTTTAGGTCTTAGTGCAGGTCTTAGTGCAGAATTCAACCCAAATCCGAGTATTCATCTTACCTTTGGCGTTCTGATGTGCTCCATAGTTTAATTCAAACGAGCGACAGCGATCAAGATTCACAGCAGAAGAGTTTCGGTCTCCGCTGCTACACAGTCACCCGGCACTCAATTCCTGTGCGTTGAAACAAGTACATATGCAACCCGATAATCTACACAACCCCCCTCTGCTCCAAATAAAAAAGCCGTGCTTCCTGCTTTGATGTGTGACCGAAGAAAGAGTGACGTCACACCCATGCGCTGGGGTTTTTCGGGCATGCCGGGAGTTGTAGTTTGTATTTGGAGCGCGTTTCAGTGGCCGAGAGGCCATTTGAAGAATCTGCCTTAATGACCAGGCCTCTACACTGACCATGTGTGCACTGTCAATTCATTTATAGGGTATATTTGTATGATACCTTATACTGCACGCTAACAGTTGCTTCCGTAAATAGCTAACGTCATATCCAACTCATGTTGTGTGGAAGATACAAGTCTGCAGACGTAATTTGAATATTTTCACATTTTTCAGAATGCTGCTAATCCAGAAATTTAAATTGAGCTCTCAGCACCCGCAGAAAAAAGAAAATGTGAAATTCATTGAGGGCTTGTCTGATACAATCCCACCTGTGTCTGCCCATCCTCGATTAATCAACTAGTGAGACGCATCTCAACAAATCCGCAAAATGAAGAAGAGCTGTTCTGTTTTTCAAGGCACTTGCGGTCGTTCTTATACGTTTTTCTTTTACATCGTAGATGGTAATTAACAGTTGTAGATTATTCTTGTTTGTCGTTGTGCTTTAGCAATACAGTATTGTAGTGAATCGGGCATGCAAGTAAACCTTCATGAACTGATCTGGGAGAGGGGGCGTGCGCGCTCACGGGCACACAGTCCTCCACCGTCCCATCAGTCTTTGCCGCCGGAAGACGCTGCCGTGTAGGCGCGGAAACAAATAGAAACAGTTGCGTTTGATGTTGTATATTTTTTTAAAAAAAAAGACATGGCACAGCTCGGGTTAATGTAATGTAAATGTTCTTCTGCAGTGCGGTGTTCGGCAATAGGGCGGCTCAGCGCGTTGGTTCGGTTTTGGCTCAAGTGCGAAGCTGTGCACGGTGCAGCTCTAAATGGTGGGCTTGCACGCTGTGGCCCTGATCTGCTGTGCTTCAGGCTAGCTCGCATCGGTAACATACAGTAGCAGATCGAAGATGTCGGGGTTTAATTTTGGCAGCGGCGGCGGCCTGGGATCTACTACCGCAGGGGGCGGATTTTCATTAGGAGCTGCGACCAGGTGAGAGAACTTCTTGAAATGCGTGATGAATGAGTGGTGTCGGTCGTAAGTGATTTCAGTTTCCCTGACTGAAGAACAGCGATGGGACAAGTGATATTAAATAGGCCACGTTTCTTACGCAAATACCATTAAAGGTAATTCGTAGTTCGTTCTGATAGAGGAACTAACAACGTACGGATTGTTGCTAATGTCCTGCCCCTTTTGGATTAGCGGAAAGTTTCAGAAATGTAACTTGCCAGCAGGAGAGAATTTGCTGGCCTGAGGTTTATACAATATTCGTGTTTCACCGGAATAGGCGTTAGAAAACTACGAACAGTGGGAAGGCAGAGCTAACCTGTTCAGTGCGAATGCTAAGGTGTCGCGGGGATCTAAGCTGAGGTTCAGGAGCCTTGAGCGCCGAACACGTGGTTCGGTATTTTCCGCGGCACAGATCAGATCAGGTCTGGTCTGGAATATTCAATCCTCCGGGGCCCGTCCGAGATGTTCGGTTTTCTGTGGAAGATACTGAAGGGCACGGGTGCTGGGAGCTGGTCGACATTAGGTTTAGTGTGTGCTGTTCACGTGTGTGTTTTTTTCCTGCGTAGCTGCTAATCAGAGCAAAAGTGAAAGTGCGTCTCCTTGATCCATCAAGTCAGTGCCATCCACATGTGAAAAGTCAGTGTGTCTGGAGGAAAAGCGTAATTAAAGTTCCAGCTAGGTTGATGTGGAAGTCGCGATGCACTTTGCTACTGCGAAGCTGAGTATATAACCCCGTATATTGCATAATTTCCTACCAGGCACCCTAAAGAAGAAACCCCTTATAATTAGTTGGAGTCTGTGTCCATGCAGATGTGCTCACATGCGGACAGAAGGGTGTGGTGTACACTGTCAGGTGTTAGAAATATATGAGCCCGACCCCTGACAAAACCTAGAGTGAATGGCTTGAGGTGCTGTTGACGTAGTGGTACTTACATTTACCTTCACACAACCCTGCATTAATCGCTACGTGAGGTACTGATATTCTGCTCCTGAACTGTGGCTCTAGGACTTGTGAGGAGCGTGTAGCGATTCTGTTTGTGTCTGAAAGTGAAGGGTGGTTGAGGAAGGGTCAGCCAGCAGTCTTTTTGAGTCTTCTGCTGTTGTGAGATTCCCTAGTAGGTAAGGCGCTGTTGCTCTGTGCCGAAGATTACTGGTGCTGAACTGCTCTCGCCTTTTTTGTTTTGCTGGTGTTGTGAAAGTGCGTCGTCCTTTTTCTTCTTTGTCCTCGCTTATTGAGTAACAGGGCGTGTTGAGTGAAATAAATCTGTCAGGTTTCCCGGTGCCCTAGTTCATTTCCCTTGAGGCAGGTTGCTGGCCTCAAGAAAAGCCCTGGAACACGAGACCTCTAGAAGTTGAATTTGTATAGTTGGTACTTCCCATGACTACTTTTGAAAGCTTGAGCCACATTTACTGAATTGAAGAGCCCAAATGCACAGGAACTGAGACGTGACTTCTTTAAAAATTTAGGCTTAGTACTACATTGCTCTAGAGAGAATAAGTGAAAGGTGCCTTTAAGACACATCTGGTAATTGACTTTTTTAGGTTCTCGTAGTTCTTATAGTGAAATACTTCATAAAGAACAGAGATTTGACAAAATTAAGTAGTCTGATGAGTTTTCTCACCTAGATTTCTGCAAGCTGCTACTTTCTTAATTTCCCTGTGACTGTTCTGTCATTTCTGTGTGGCACTGATTTTATTTTAAAACGTTTAACTTTCCTAGTGTTTTTAAATACCTAGTTATGAAAGAATGTTTAAGAATAGCGGGTAAATGAAGTCCCGAAATGTTTGGTATGTTATTTTGGTCAATAATTCTAGAATACAGAGACCCTAATATAGTTCTGAAATTTTGCATTTGAGTGTTTGTCACGCATAGCATTGACATAAGAGGAAAAAATTAAGAAATACAGGTTTTTCCTTGGTTTGTTTACCGGATTGTTTTTTTTATTACAGTATTTTAATTAATTTGCTCAGGTGTTCTAATGTACATGATACTGGGGTTGGGTTATCTTTGTCGGAGATGGCATTTCCCCCACTTTAAGGTCCTTCTTGTATCTCGGTCATTGGATAGAGAGACTAATTTATAGTACTTCCCTTTCTAGTTCACACTTCTGAATTTTTAGTATAGACTTAACAAGTGTTGTCTAGTGAATACATCCTCATTGTGAAGGTCCTTCAACTCTGAATAAACATGACAAGGAAGTGACCATGTGCCTGTGATGTGGTACAGTAGGTCTGTGCAGTGGGAAGGGTCAACAGCAGCCAAAGATCAGAAATTTATTTATTTGTTGGTTACTTTACCTGTTTAGTCTCTGAGTGATTTAAAGCCCTTTCACAGATCTAATGCAAGTGATTTAGAAATACTTTTCTCCAGCCTCCCGTGTGCTTTGTTTTGTGCCCACGTCCTTGAAGTCTCAGTGCACTGGGTGTAATCTGGCGGTTGCCCTTTTAGTGTCTTGTGTGTGTTTGTGTATTCTGTGGCAGTTGCTCCAGGGATGGTGGCTTCACTGTCTGCTGGGTGCATGCATGCGTGCTGTCATGATGTCACAATACCGTGTGGATGCCCTGGTTATTGAAGGTTTCTTTTGGTATTGTTTTCAGCAACCCTACAGGGACCGGGGGTTTCGGCCTGGGCACTCTGGGTGCTGCCACAGCCTCGGGCACTGCCACGACGACCACCACAGCCTCCTCCCTGTCTCTTGGGAGCGCCGTCTTCCCGCAGAAACAGGCTACCGGGTTCGCGTTCGGGACTCCTGCCTCCGGTACGCTACCTAAGCTACGGGAAATTCTCGCATTTTCTTGTTAAAAACCTGTGAGGAATGTTCATGGTTCCTGGGTTATTGTCCCGTATCCCTAGCCCTCTCAGCCCAGTTAGTGCTCACACACTCAGGAAAACCGAGTCCATACAATGTCTCGCTGCATTCTGTCATCAGTGGCTGTTATCGGACGAAATGGTTTGAGTACAATTGAATTAAAGCTACACAGTGGATTTCTTAAATGCTAAGACGTTCAGCAGTGATGCATCACAACCAGCTCAAGACGTGGGCTCAGATTTCCCAGCTTCAGCACTTGGATGAAGTGTGGGAATTTTGCATCGGGCCTCAGTGTGGACACGTCCATCAGTGTGTTTAAAAACACATGTACAAGTCCAGTGTAGATGTGGAAGGATAATGTGAGGCACCGTTGCCTCTGTGTCTACAGATTAAGCTGCCTCTTTATTCACTGATATTTTGTTTTGGCAGGAACAGCAGCAACAGGACCTGTGACAGGATTGACACTAGGTGGGTTTTTTGTCACCACTCTGTGTTTTGCAAAAGCGTTATTAGTTGCAGCCTGTGTATTAGTTAGAAAGTGGGAACTGAATGCTTTGTGGGCTTGAAATGTATTGGTCTTTCTTTTCATATGAATGTGTTGCTTACCGTCAAACCGTGATT